CTAAGTATATTGAGAAGTTGGGGAAAAAAGTGAACCCTCCATCTGACACACGTTATCGAGGTTTTGCTTTAATCGATTATTTCTATAAAAATATTGACACTCTTAAATTTGAAGAAGGAATGGAAAGATTTCAATTTATCCCAATTTCCAAAGATCTGGGTAAACCTTATAATTTGAATCATGTTCGTACTAATACTTTGGATTGTTTCGATCACATAGTACTTTCCAAGTATAAGGAAGTTGCGTGGAGTCAAATGTCTTTGATTGCAGAAGATGTTGTACCGCCTAAACACGTGCTTCAAAAATATCCAACACTTGGTAAACCGGAAGTAACTATTGTAATCGAACATCTTCGTTACTTATATATGAATTTACGGGTTGATGATGAATGGAAGACAAATTGGGCTGGAGTTTTTAAAAACAACGTCTATGAAGTTTATAAATGGCTCGAAGATGAATGTAAGGAAAATGATATTGACTTAACAGAACATATTCATGAACGTGAAAGATTATTCCTTAATTTCAACAAAAATCAAGACCCATTTGATGACGATAACTGGGTCTCTATAAAAGATTTGATTTTGAATAGTCAAATAGATGAGGATAGATATATTTGTTTGGCCCTTCAAAAATATCCCACCATGCTCAAAAGTGCAGGTGTCAAGGAAGTAAAACGACCAGATTATAAAATAAACGTTTGTCTACACAATCAGTCCATTATTATTGGAAAAGCCGTATTTGATCTTTTGTTTGATCAGGAAACCTCCTTAAATGATATCATTTTTATTGTGGATGAAGAAGAAATTAAAGCAAATCGATATATGCTTGCGGCAAGCTCTGAATTTTTTCAAAAAGAATTTTCTTCGGCAAATCCAGGTCTGATTAAGAATACTGTGAATGACATTAAACCTAACTCGATGAGAATCTTATTACGATACTTGTATGGCCAGGACATCGATGTGGCAATTAAAAGTTTAAAGATTGATTCCGATACTTCAAAATTTGTACTTTATGAAGATCTACTTAAATTAGCAAATAGTTATGAGTTGGCCCATTTAAAAGAGATGATGGAATTGAGGCTCTCGCGAAAGATTACCAGGTCGAATGTGGAAAATATGAAAAAATTTGCTGTAACTTCGGGAGCTAACCAGCTCAAAGAATTTTGTGATCTTTATATCATCACTAATCACAATTTGTAAAAAAGAAGAAATAATATTATAGGGAATATAAACAAATTTATACGATAGTGATATTGTTATTTCGATCATTTTATATATTATAGTTTTATGTTTTTATTTTATACATAAATAAAAGAGAAATTGGTTTGTCAAAGAATTTACTACTATATGTAAATAATCTTCTTTAGAATGATTAATATTTTAACTCAACTATATAGTCAACTCTTTGCCTTATGACGAATTTTGATATTTAACATAAAAATTTTTATTGATCAAGCGCTGTTACACTTGATTTAACGAAATAAAGTGTATAAACATATAAAATGACTTTTTATAATGAATTTTTTATTACAATGAATTTTTTTTTTGCAGTAAAACAAAGATTTAAGTTTCTAATAAAATTTTATAAATTTGAAACAAGTTTAAATTAGAAAGATATTTTATAATTTATTTAAGGACGGTTCACGTTGTTTTTACTTATACCGAAAAAAATTGTATACCGAAATATTCTATACTATACCAAATCCTTCATTTATAGCATTAACAAAATTAGAGGTTGGAACCGACCAAAAAAACCTTAATCGATTAATAATCGATTAACCAAGGGCCCTAATCGATTAATAATCGATTAATATTAAAATATTAAAAAATTTTTTTTTTTTGACCGCAGATTGCACCAAATTGTTTTTGATCATACATTTAGTTATATGAAAGTCTTATTTATTATTATTATCATTAAAAAATTAATACAAATTCTTCCAAGTTCGGAGAACACGAGACCAAAAATTCACAGCTCTGGGACGCATTAGATAATTTGACCAGAATTATGGGTTGATAATTTAATCGATTAACCGATTTTTGAGATACCTTAATCGATTAACCGTCTTAGTCGATTAATTAATCGATTAACCTTAATCGATTCCAAACTCTAAACAAAATTTTCTGATAAATGAACGAAGGCATGAATAAGTCCAGACGCCAAATTCATATAAGGTGAGTTTACTGTACATATTTAAACAACATTACTATATATATAAATTTATGAGAAAACAAATTAAATAAAAATTATTGAAAATTACTCAATATTTAAATTTGAGTTTTATGACATAAGAAAAAATTTTTTTAGGATATTTTATTAAAATAAAACGAATCCTAGTGGTTTAAAAATTTAGAAAATCAATTATTTTTCATAATTTTCTCTTTGTATACTAATTAAATAGCGATTGAAATCTTCCGTCAAAGTCAACATATATAATAGAAAATCCTAAAAACACTAAATAATCTATTATTTCCTAAAAGCACTAAAAATAATCTATTATTATAATAAAATAAAAATAAAATAAAAAAACCACTTTGAAAAATTAAAGAGTATTAATATCAAATTCAAATTCTCTGGAATTATGTTCTACATTAATAAATTTAAAAAAATAATTAGGTCAAAATATAATGAAGTAATTATAAATATTTATAAAAAAAAACTTACTATTATTATGATTATTAATATCTAATTCAATTTATAATCTTTACAATAAAGTTTATTTGATATCATACCATTATCGTCATTAATCTCATCGAATTTTCTTTTAACTTTAAAAGAATAATGGTTATTAATATAATGAATGATATCTCAAGCAATAACAAATATATAATTGACTAATTACCAGTAGACGGTGTCTGATAATAATAAAATGGGTCTAATTATTCAAGTAAAAAAAAAAAGTTAAACATTGATATAAAAATGTAATGTAATTCTTAATATAATAAATGTTTACCAGTTTCTAAATTAAAAGATTGACTTCTTAAACTCGTTAAAGACATTGCAGATTAAATCATATCACTTAAAGGTCTACTTTTATAAACGGCACCTGGATTATATATTGTTAAGGGTGTATAAATAATTTAAATTGTGTAACAGGACCCCGAAATATATATGTAGAGGTCAGGTCCAGAAGTGGTCCAAAATACGCATTCTTTCAGGGCCGGAATTACAATAATTTCAGCCATTATCTAAATTAGGAAATATTATTTTGGCTGGGATTATCCATAAAAGGAATGATCTACATGATTTTTTTGACTCATTATACGCAAACTCTGACCTGACCCTTTTATGTATATTTCGGGGTCCTTGTGTAACATTGAAAAGTGTGATATTTCTTGCGTCCGATCTATTATCATATCATAATTAAGGAAATTTGATTGAAAAACTATTCGATCCATGTGCATTCCAATCAACCAATCCAATTTCAGTTAATGCTTTTTTTGATTTCGAACCAAAAAAATTTTTCTCCCTTTTCTTCTTTCAGTTTTTTTCAAACCGAAAAATTTATTTTTTCTCATTCTTTTCCCATTTACATTTAATTTTTTTTTCCCAAACTGAAAATTTTTTAATAAATAATCCTATTGTTTCGGTCTTTTAAGACCAATTTTTTTTTTATATTATTTTTTTTCGATCTTTTTTTTTAGACCGTATTGTTATTTTTATTTTTTTAAACCGATTTCTTTCTTCATCCTTTTCTATTATTATTAAATAAAGAAATAAAATATTATATTAAATATATTTACAAAATTATTATATTTTTTTAAAAAAATCAATATAACATGTAGGAAAATTGACCGACGTTGATATAAAGATGATTAAGATTTTTTCAATTAAATTGAACACTGGATAAATAGATTTCAAATAAAATCAAAAAAAATTGATATTTTTACAATATTTTATAATTAATTAATTAAAGAAATTGTTGATTTAATAATAGATTATTATAACCAAATCCATATCCGAAATTCTTTAAATAATCACTAGATTTTTGAATAAAATTTTTTTTCAAATGGTTTAGTTAAATTAATAATTTATCGAGTAAAATGAGTATCAAAAGAATAATAATTGCAGTTTCTAATACATTTGATTGTTCAATATTTTTCTCAAGTTGGTTATAAGTTTAAGATTGACGTAATATAAAATAATAATTAATTAATTAATAAAAATCTTTGTAGTATTTTCATAAAGTTTTTTCGAAAATACTTCTAATAAATTAATCAATTTTTATTGATAATTATTTTTTCACAATTCCTTAATTTCATTCTACATTCTCATCAAATCATTAATATAAATAGCTACATTATTGTAAAAATAATTTATATCATTACCATATTAAATTCCTAATTATAAACAAAACTACTGTAATCATCTTTAATTTACTTAGTATTACATTATAATACTAAATTTGTCTATTTAAACAAAATCATTGGTCTCGGTGCGAAGCAACGGTTGACTGCTAGTTTCATATAATTTTTTAGTTTATCTTAAAAAAAAAATAATAATTTTTTTTATTTGAAAATTTAGAAAACTAATTAAATTAAACAATGAAGAAAGAAATTCTAGAAGTAATTTAAGAATGTTTTGATTGTTTTTTTTATAACATAACACAAGAGGGTAATTTAAGAATGTTTTTGGTTTTTTTTATAACGTAACACAAGAGGTGATTTAAGAATGTTTTTGGTTTTTTTATAACGTAACACAAGAGGTGATTTAAGAATGTTTTTGGTTTTTTTATAACGTAACACAAGAGGTGATTTAAGAATGTTTTTGGTTTTTTTATAACGTAACACAAGAGGTGATTTAAGAATGTTTTTGGTTTTTTTTATAACGTAACACAAGAGGATGAAACACAAGAAGGACGGTTTCTACGATCAATGAAATTATGTACAATATTTTGTATTACTGTTTCACAAATTTATCTGACAAATTGGATATTTAATAAGTTGCAACGTCCGCTCCGCTCTCCTAATCTTTTTGCAACAGTTTAATTTAAAATATCAAATATGGCGACCGGTAATTATAAAATTACGATATAAAAAATGTTCTTTATTTCTGACAAATGTTTTAACTTGTTTGAATTATAGTCGGTATTGATTTAGGAAATGCATACTCTCGCGTCGGTGTTTGGATAAATGACGATGTCGAAATAATTGTCAACAAATGGGGTAATCGCACAACACCGTCATATGTCGCATTTACTGATACAGGAATTCTTATTGGCGAACCGGCAAAAAATCAAATTTATAGAAATCCATATAATACTGTTTTTGACATTTATCGTCTAATCGGTCGTAATTATAATGACTCTAACATTCAACTTAATTTGAAGGTATGCTATTTGAGTATTATAATTTTTTAAAAAAGAATTGATTTCACTGAAAACTGCTCGAAATATTTATATAGCATTGGCCGTTTAGAGTCATTGAAAAAAATGAAAAACCATATGTTTGTATCAAATATAAGGGCGAAGAAAAAGATTTTGCACCCGAAGAAATATTGTCCATGATATTGGTAGAAATGAAAGAAACTGCAGAAACTTTTCTTAGTACACAAGTTAAAAATATTGTAATTACAGTACCATCTTGCTTTAATCATTCTCAACGTCAAGCTGTAAAAGTTGCTGGATTGATTGCCGGTTTGAATGTAATTCGTATCGTTGTTGGATCAACTGCAGCGTCTATTGCTTACGGGTTAAACAAGATTACTACTAGAGAAAAATGTATTGTTCTTATCATTGATTTGGGTGGTGGTACTTGTAATGTCTCTCTATTAGGTATTAGAAATGAAATTTATGAAGTAATGGCTGTTTCTGGGAACAATCATCTTGGTGGAAAAGATTTTGACAATCGTCTTGTAAATCATTTTGTACAAGAATTCAAAAGTAAATTTAAGAAAGATCTTTCTTCTAATGAACGTGCTCTCTGTCGTCTAAGGGAGCATTGTGAACGTGCAAAGTGTATACTTTCAACATCAACACATGCTTTCATCGAAATTGCTTATCTTTTTGAAGATATCGACTTTTATACCTCTTTGACACGTACCAAATTCGAAGAATTAAATCAAGATTTGTTCCAACCGATAATGAAACTTATTGAGAAAGTGTTTCAAGATAGTGAAATCGATAAAAATCATGTTGGCGAAGTTGTTTTGGTTGGCGGCTCAACACGTATTCCCAAAATTCAAAGGATGATATCTGAGTTCTTTAATTACAAAGAATTAAACAAATCTATTAATCTTGATGAAGCAGCAGTTTATGGTGCTACCGTACAAGCTGCTATTTTATCTGGTAAATTTTCTGGAAAGCTTCGAGATTTTCTTTTACTTGATGCTACCGCTTTATCATTAGGTATCGAGACTCTTGGTGGTACCTTTATGCCGTTTGTGAAAAGGAATACCATTATACCTGCCAAGAAAAGTGAAATTATATCTACGGATTTTGATGATCAACCTAATATATTGATTAGAGTATATGAAGGTGAACGTACCCAAACAAGAGATAACAACTTTCTTGGAAAATTTGAGTTATCTGGAATTCATCCAGCACCAAAAGATGTTCCACAAATTGAAGTTGCCTTCGCTATTGATGCAAATGGAATCTTAATCGTATGTATTCGTATAAAAAAATGTCACCACAATTTTAATCGTGAATTTTTACTTTCTAATTTTTTTAGGTCTCTGCTGTTGATAAATCAACTGACAGGTCAAGTGAAATAACCATCGAAGGACGATTATCAAAAGAAGAGATCGAGCATATGGGTTTGTAATCATACTTTAATATTTACAATATATTTTGATTTTATTAGCTTATATTACATTGCAAATAATAGTTACCGAAACCAAGAAATATCATGCTGAAAGATGTAAAGTATTATAAAATACAATCATTAAATGGCTAGGGGACCTAAATATACAACTTACAATATACAACCAGTAAATTTTTTCAGTATATTGATTAAGTTTTATCATTAGCTTAAACTTGAATAAACTTGAAGGTTTGTAATAGTACATTTAACGCATTAGGATACATAAATTTGGTCATAAAAATTTGAGTAGGAATTCTGTTTAACTTGCAAACATTTCCTATGTTTTTGAAGTAGAATGATTCGGAAGTAGCAAATAGCTTCATATATCTAATATTTTAAATTAAAAAAAGATAGAAATTATAATAAAAATATGCCGTGGGAATTTTTTTAAAATATAGTATTTAATTTGTGTAGTTTTTACATTTTGTCCAGAGAGAAGCGAAGGACTATAGCAGTAGCCTGCATTTTTCGGTCATATGCAAAATAAACCATTCTATTGGTGAAACACGTTCGACTACTGTTCGACTGAAATCATGTGCTACACAAAAAATCAGAAAAATCAAAATAAAAATAAAATAATTATGAAAATGTCCACCATGTTATTTTTTTTTAGAGATTATTGCAGTTTTCAGAATTCTGTATTGTGATTTATTGTGATTTATCATTACAGGATGATTACAGGACAAATTGCCCGGCTTTTGCCTAATTTTATTTTACAATTAGGCTGGTAGTTACTTTTTCCATAAAAAAGGGAAGTGATAATGTAGAAAAATGAACACCTATTTTCACCCAAAAAAACTTTTCTACCGATCACCTGACTAAAATTTTCAGGTTAAAAAAAAAGTCAGAAAAGTTATATGAAGTGTTGCTGTTAATTTAGAAATTTGACACTCTTTGTTGCATCCAACTGTCGTTTTCCTTTATTTTATATTAGGAAGTTTTATTAGAGATAGAGAAATATCGAACAAAGACGTTTTACAACCAAAGCGATATATTTTTGAAGTTTAAGTTTTTTTCAATAACAAGTTCAGCAATTATGTTAAGCTTCTCTATACAAATTTTTACGAAGTAATAAAACTTGAAAGTTTTGTAAAGAAGAAATTCTTTACCTTCGAGGAAGGCTGTGGGTGGCGCAATAAGTCATAATAATAAGATACGAGAACGAATCGCATTTTAGAGTAATGAGGTGATTGATGTGTGATACCTTTCTCATATCACGAAGATAAAAAATCATCCGCGGGATCTGTGATCTGTGACGGTCACAGGAATTTACTGTTGTCCCGTGTAAACACACGTTTGCCACCTTAGGACTTAACAAAATAGTACTTTATTAATAATGTAAATAAATACAAATATGCTTGGTTTAACAATACTAAATATAATTAACAATACAAATTCCAAGTTTGTAACCTCTATTTTATAAAGTCAAATTTCATATCTTTTAGTTCTTTAATTTTCATTCGTATTACAATTATAAGTTATGACTCACTATTCAAGTCCTATCCACTCCTGATATTCCTAATCCCCTGATATTCCTTATTCCCTAGTTTAACGTCTTTTCGGAAGTAAACCCCTAATCAGATAGTTTATTAACGTCATTTCGGCCATTTGATATACAATTTTAAACTACTAAAAATTTATACACTAATTCTAAATATAATACTGCGCCCCATAATTAATAAATTCGCCATGTATACTACGTCACTACACTGTCTATGGTATAGCTCAACGGTTGATTTCATGTATATTATGTCATTTAGATTATTTTAGTTAGACATAAAAATACCCACCTAATTTTTTTTTTAATTTTACTTTATTTACTTTTTGTTTTCTTAATTTAGCTGCCCATAGAGTTTTAAAAGAGAAGTTTGAAATTACAAAGAAATAATGAAAAGTTTAAAAATAGCTATTTTTATATAGTAGCCAATTTATTTAATGAGTTTATTTCATTGTATATTTTGATCATATATCCGTGTACTTTTTAGGTCTCTATTTTTTTAAAAAATAATCATTTTTTAACCGTATTTACCGTATACGTGATTATATGATTCGCTCCATATTCTTCCAAATATTTTTCTATCATTTCTACTTTTATATCTATATAGTCTAATAACAATTTTCACTCTCTTTATCTATATTTTTGATAAATTGCTACATTCTGCTTGTTTGTGTCATCAATCGCATTTCCTTTATACCACCTAAATCTTCTTTGTTTAACACAATCTCCACTCTTACCGACTGATACTTAAAACTTCTTCATTTTCAATTTTCAAACTAATTCAAAAATTACTCAAATTCTCTATAACATTTTCGTTAGACCACCACTTGAGAATATCGTAGAAAAAGATATCAGTACCAATGACATCATTATCCTGATTATTAGATTCAATTGGAATGCCAATCACTTTCTTTTCACAAGATTATGTTTCACATACTTTTATTATTTTTTAAATATTATAAATCTTATTGGTGTTCAACTCCTTCCCATTTTTGTTATTAGATTTTCTTTTTTTAGATTTTTCTTGGAGCGTGTAGCTTTTTTTAAATTTTTATTTTAACAAAATGATAACTAACAGTAGTTCACCAGGTTTCTTGGACTTGTAGAATTTGGAGTGATAGTGGTTTTTGTTTTAATTTGTTTAAATTATTTAACAACTTTTTTCTTTTTTAGGCAATTCTTCAGATCTCTTGGTCATATGGTGAGGGAAAGTTTTTCCCTCTGAATTTAATTTTAACAAAATAATCCTACCATCTCATGTCTTTTTAGACTTTTTTTTTTGTAGGATTTGGCAAAACATGGGTCCTAGATAAACCCTTTCGAAAACTACATTATCAACATTTTTATTTATATATCTGTAGGAACTTTAAAAATCTGGCAAGTTTTCATTACATTATTTTTAAAAAGTTCTTTTTATTTAATGTAGGTAATTTTTGGATGGTGATAGTGGTAAGTTTTGAATCTATCAAAACGGATTATTATTTTTTTAAAGAAATATCTTGTTTTAACATTTCTATCTTTATTTTATAGAGATTTCGGGTGGAGCTTTTCGGAAAATGAAAATACTAAGTTTCGTATGTATTACGAAACTTTTTTTTGTTCTTTTTTTTTTTTAAAAAAAAGAAACATTATATTAACTGAATGTTTCTACCTCTTAATTTTGTAGGGGCTTCGGATGGATCCTGCTATAAAGAGTTTTCATTAACAAGAGAATGAATGATATTTTATTATTATTGACTAGCAAGAGATACTTGTTCAGTATATACTGTAAGATATAAATGACAAATAATGAAAGCAATTGTAATTTAGAAATATTTCATATGCGAAGAATATGTATCTGTTTAGTGTCATTTACATTAAACTTGATAATTTCAAAAAGGATAATAAACTGAATATTTAAAAATATTACTATTTAATCACAAATCAGAAAAGACCTTTTTATACTATATTTGATAATACATTTTTACGATTTACTTATAACTTTGTTAACGATTTCGATAACACAACTTCGATAACCATTTTTGTGCGACTCAGTTAAATCAGGTGACGATTTCCTTAATATCAACCTCTCCATACTTACAGTGCTTTGACGAACAGAGGCTAAAACATTTTAGTTAAAAGACAATAACTAACTGTTCATAGAGTGAATGATATTAATAGTTAGACGAATTCATTTAGTGGTACTTTGGAAATGCTTGTTACTCATATGAATTCATTCCTAAATTACATACATATATTTATTCTGTTTAAGATGAGAACATTTTAATTAGAAGATGGATCCTTATGTGACGTTTAATATAACGGCTTTAGCGGTAAATTGTTAAGTTCTGTATACTTGCTACAAATAAGAATCCAATAACAATAATGTATAACTGGATATATATAGTGAGTAGTGACTCATCTAATATGGTGAATATCTTAGGATAAAAACCATCTGATCCCATTTTGTTTCATTTGTGAAGCAAAGTCTAAGAGACAAACCAAGGAATAATAGAATACCACAAAAAAAATTGTAATATGTAATATGTTACCAATACCGTTAATGACAAAATTTACAATAAATAGAGACGAAGAGATTCGTATACGTTTGCCTGGTGAAAACCTCCAGTTAATGCGTTTTCTAATTTAATTAAAATACACTCGTACACAAATTGTGTAGATTTTATTTCTTCTTCAAAGTTTCTAAAAGTTATAATTTTATGAAATAGATTAAGATTTAATCATGATAAATATTAATTTGAAATGCGTTTAATTTTTTTGAGCGGAATTAGTAACATATTCATGTCCTTTTTTAACGTTTATGTAATTTTTTATATTGTGTACCATGATTCTAATGAAATTATTGGTAGATGATTAATTTTGTACATATTTAGTTTATTTATTATGTTTACTCAAACAAACCTAAATATTTTCACATGGTTTTAAGGTATCTGCATACTGGCAATCTAATGTATAGTAGTATTTATTATTCTATACATAAAACTATTTATTGAGTTAACAACTATTTTCCTTATATAAGTCAAAGACATCTTTTATTATTATAAACAACATATTATTTAGTTTATATTACATTTTTAAAATACCGTATTTGTTTAAGGATGGGGTATCTATCTAAACCAATCTCAATGAATACAACGAAATTGCATATAGATTAACTGAAGATAGTTAATATGGGAGAAAACGAGACTGTATTTCGAACAAATTAGGAAACTGGGTGAAATCATATGAGCATGTTTATTATTACTTGATGTCATCAATATGCTATTAATTGTTTATTAATACCCAATATGCTGTTAATTATTTATTAATACTCAATATGCTATTAATTGTCTATTATTACTCAATATGCTATTAATTGTCTATTAATAAACTAATCTAATTTTAGAACTTAAGAAATAATTGTTTAAAAATAGTTGCCCATTTATTCACTTTTTTTCCCCACAGAAACGCAATAACTAATTTAGGGATTATCATTTTTTTTTTAAAAAAAAAAAAGATACGGGCAGAACCGAAATCTATTCTTGAATTAGTATAATGGTCAATAATGATGATGCATAAAATGCGCCAATTTTACTTTTATTGATTTAAAATACTGCGGTTAATAGTACGTAATGCACATATATGCAGAGTAAATCAATACTTTTCTAAGAAAATGAATTTCGTGACATTTAAAATAAAGGAAAAATAGGAAAAATAAATATTACGGGTTTTCAAAAATTATTGAAATCGATAAAAATTTAAAATATATGATGTATATTTTAAATTAACTGGGCTTTTGTGATTTTTGTGTTTTGTTTTACAGAAATTGTACTGAAAGTATCCTGAAAATGTACGGAAAATGTACGGGAAAATCGCCCATATGA